TATCTTTAGACGTCCAAGTTAACCATGCACTGACTTGTTTTGTGATGTTCAAATGCTTCCAGATTATTTGCAAGTGCCTTGTCTTTTGAACAGTGTTGTGCATTGTGTATAAACTTGAACAGGGCTTGGCTTGAGGGAGCAGGAGGGGAAGGCTGGGCTGAGGCAGCTACACGGCCACAGGAACCAAACATTGCTTCATTTGTACATTTATGCAATCAAAGAAAACCAGAAATGGAAAAAAAATATTACCCAAGAGGCTGTTTTGGGTGGAATTTACTGGAAATTGTGGATGACAATACAGCTTCCTGTGTTTAAATAGTAAAAGAATATGCTTTTAAGGCACTATTACAAAAGAGGGATGCTATAGATGTTCCAGGAAATTTAAAAAATACACTTTGACAAGGCAGTACCTGGCTAACTCCCAGAAGTCAATCTGCTGAGTTTTCATTTTACACAGCCCAAACTAATCAACCTCAGACTTGGTAAAGGAGAATATTATGCAAGATAAAGCTAATAAGTAGCCAACAACTCAATCTGAATGGTAATGCTATTCAAACCTGCCAATTCTTCTGGAAGCAAACTGGACTGAAAATTGAATTAGTAAGAAGGCCTCTATGGATGTTCTAGGAAAATTTTCGCCCAGCCTCCTCAAAACTGATAAACACTGAGGCACACATTTTCCTTTTAATGGTCCAAACTCATCAGTCTAAAACCCACCAACAAATATTATGCAAGGACAACTTAATCTGAATGGAAATGTTATTCTCACCCACATAATCTTTGGCAACCAAACAGAACTGAATGTTCTGATTAAGAAGTTATTCCCTCACAGTGATTACATTTGTTCCAGTAATAATATCTGTGGGCCGATCACTGCCTCTTATACCTCCGGACTCCTTTTCATGATAGTTACTAAGATGCATATTACATCTATAAATGTGTTTGTGAGAGCATTGTGTGTTCTCTCATGGCACTCCTTCTCACCACTGTCTCGCTGCACCCCGATCTTTCTCTAACGCTGCCTCTCTGCTCCGCAGCTTTGCAGAAAGCACCTCTGGTTCTCATTGAGTACCACCCGTCCCCTTCTCCTTCCACCCCATCCCTAAATCTCCTAATTCAACTCATTATTCGCTCAATTGGTGGGCTTTAACCCCTCCTGCCTCTGGTCCTATAGAGCTGGTAGTCATTAGCAGACAGGATTTGTGATGGAGCGGAGC